GATTAAAGTTTAGGGGTTCGAAGCCGGCAAGCCCTGAAGGACGAGGGGGGTTGTAGATGAACGGGTGAAATGGAGGGTTTAAGACTTTTGGAGTAGTGGGGTTTTGGGGCATTGCGGGTTTTGGGCTGTAGGGTTTAGGGTTTGGGTTTGGGGGCTTTAGGGTTTCAGGGTTCAGGGTTTAGGGTTAGGGGTTCGGGGGGCTTTAGGTTTTCAGGGTTTGGGGTCACTGCTCTGGAAGATGGCGGACGTTTTGCCCTTGGGGCTGTGCCAACTTTTAATTATGGATCAGGTCGCTGCATGTGCCTCGAAGAGGCACATCCGTGGCTGTTTAAGAACCAGTCATGGCCGGTGCTGAAATGCACCGCTGCGTGTTTCTTGCAGCATCTGCTACAAGCACGTGTGAAACAGAAAGCCGTCGCTGATGAGCACCTCCGGATGCAGTAGCTTTATTTCATGAAACACCTCTTTGCAACAAGGTTCCAAAGAACCCTGAAGCTTGACCCTAAACACCAGATCGCAAACTACCAGTGCTGCTACTGTGGCTACTGCCAACTGCGCGCTTTGTGCGCAATCTCCGGGCTCTGGCAGTATTACCTCTTTAATCCAACAGTTCTATATAGCAAGAAGAGACGCGATACGGGTGATGATATAAATCCTGCATTACCTTATATTAAGGACCCCGAACTATGGGAATTATGGTATGTTCCTTATTATGGGTAATGCAGGATTCATATCATCAACCGTATTGGTACACGGACCCTGAAATAGGCTGAGACCTCGACCGAAACAGACTTGTCGCAGCCCGAATAAGCGTGGACCCTTTAAAGCCGGAGTTCTTTACACAAACCCGAAACCCTCAAAGCCCTGACAGAGCCCAGCTTAAGGCGAGGAAGATGTCTGGAACTTTCCACTTTAGCCTGTGAAACATGCCTTGAATTTTGAGGTTGGGGTAGGGGCTTTGAGGGTTTAGGGTAAAAGGGGGTCTTTAGGGCTTAGGGTACAAGGAGTGTGGGAATGCGCAATCCTAAACCCCAAACCCCTACTAAACCCCCCTAAACCCTAAACCCCTAAACCCTATAAACCCTATGTAGAGGACTGCTTTGCCCTTAAACCTAGCGGCCTCCTGGCACCGCTTGGTCAGGGCAATGGGAGGAAGGTTGGGACGCCTGGGATGATGGCGGCTGGGGAGGAGGCAGTTTTTGTTCGGTGTTTTGGGTGGCTGGGGGAACTTTGATTCAGGGGTGTTTAGGGTTTGGGGTTTAAGGTTTAAGGTTTTCAGGGTGTGGGATTGTAGGCCAGGCGACTGATTGATGGCTCTAGACTCCATCTACTAGAACTCAAGTGTCTCAGGGTATCTCCGGGTCTTGGCTTTCGGTGTCCTGGCATGTTTAGCTTTCTAAGTCCTCAGTCGTACCCTGATGCCATTTTTGGGGGGGAGGTCTCCTAATTCAGACTACAAGGAAGAACGGTATGCTTACTGACAAGGGGATAATGGGGCAATGGCGCAAGTTAGGAATTCGGGGGTGGGCTTTCGGGCTTTACATTTACGGGTTTATAGGATGTAGACCGATCACGCCAACTAAGACTCAAACTGATTCCCAGGCTCAAAGCAACTCGAAAGCCATTTAGCATGTGGTCTTTGGCACCACAAGCCGTGAAATCTGAGTTGCAAGCTGTGGGATTTGCGGCCCTGTAGTTCAGTTTTTGACTTTGGGCATACGTCTTCCCTATGCTTGAACCCCTAAACAGGTTTGGCTCAGGGCTCGATAGCGGCCCGGTTTCTAGTGTTCTTCCCCGATTCCTTAAAAACCCTAAACCCTAAATCTCTCAATCCTAAACCCCAAATCCCTCAACCCCTAAATCCCTAAAGCCCTAAACCCCTAAAAACCCCTAAATCCCCAAATCCCTA